TGAGGATATATCTAATAATTGACATTTTTTGTTTTTCCATCTTCTTCTCTTTTTCTTTTCTTTTTATAAATTATTAAAATTTAAATTTTAAAAAAACAATCACTTTTGGTTTAAGGCGTTTTGGACTTTTTTCACATATTCATCTCGTTGGTTATCTTCCCAGTGAGTTGACCATTGGATTGGGTTTTTAGCAGCTTCAGTTATTTTTGTTTTATCTTGGATGACTTCAAAGGTATCGTCTTCTTCAATATTTTTGATGATGTCCATAGGTTCGGTCATAATACTTTTCTAAGTTCCTTTTTAGTTTCAAGAAAACCACAAAAGAAGTGAAAAAATGTTAATTAGATTCTATACATTGAGATGCCCATTTATCAACTTGTGAAGGAGGAATTCTATTCTTTTTAACATATTTAATGAATAAAAACTTATCGAAACCAGTTACTAATTGTTGAGGCTTTTTTAATAAAATATCGATTGACATTAAGTCATCTTCTTCGTCCAAAATTTTGTCTTTTAATAAAAAGAAGATTGTTGAAGCGATACTTAGTGTAATTTGCCAACCTTCAACAATGATAATATCTAAAATCCAAATACCAAGATCTCCTGTGAATAGTCTTGAAAACCATAACGCATAATATTCTAATAAATGAGGATAAAGACTATCATATCCTCCTAGTTTCATAACTTTTGTGTAAATTTCTGGGTGGTATTTTTTGAGCATTAACGTTTCTAGTGTTTTAAACTTTTGAACACCAGGAAATCCTCTTAAGAAACAACACCTTAGTTGATACTTTGGTAAGTTCATTGTTTGGTACATACCCCAAAATGCTTCTTCTTCGGTATTAAACACTAAAACATAAAAACCAAATAAATCAGCAAGTCCTTGAACATATCCTACTTCAGTGTCTTTATTGGCATATGCCCTTAATGCTAAAAACAATTTTTTCTGTCCATCACTGAATTTACACATGAACTTAACATTGTTTTGATGAGCTCGAATTACGTCTTTATGAATTTGATCATCTTCTTCAACACCCCTTTCCAACAAAGCTAGTTTAGAGAATTCACCTTCATTTTCCTTTATTATTTCATCTATCCCAAGCATTACCTTCCATAGGTCCTGACGTTTATTACAAGGAACTCCTTTATATAATCTGAATATTAGCTTTGGATGAAATTTATGTTTGTTTTGATAAAATTTGATCATTTCATCCCATTTTTGTTGACGTTCTTCATTGTTAATATAATCATCCATTTCTTTAGGTTTATTAGTAGCATTAATTTCATAACCTAAAGAGTCAGTTTTTATGAGAACACTAACTCTATCTCTTCCAGTTAATGCCCTTTTTCTTTGAGTTGACTTACAAACTGTTTCTACTTCAGTGTATACTATTCCAACATCTTTTAAAGAAGACATAGAAAGAAAGTGGTTAATAATATCAGCTATTCCAACTTCAATGGCATAATGAATTGGTTTATGACCACTTTTGTCAAGAGAATTGAAGAGAGTTTTATTTTTTGAAATAACTCGAATGTAATTTATAGTTTGTGGTTGATAGTTTTCTGTTCTAGCATAGTAGTGAAGACAATTTTGACCATTTGAATCAACTAAAGTTGTGTCAGCATTTTCATTAAGTAATATTTTAATTATGTCAGGAAAGTTTTTATATAATGATAACATTAATGGAGTTGTTCCAGTTTGTGTTGCTATATTAACATTTGCACCATGTTTAATAAGTGATTCCATTACAGTTGTATTTTCTTTTATAACACAACAATATAATGCAGTTTCTCCTTTTTTGTTTTGATGATTAATTTGGTCTTTAGACATCTTACGAGCTAAAACTACTGCAATTTTAGTTCTTCCAGCTTTAATTGCAGAAATTAGTGGAGTATTTCCATCATTATTTTGGACAGCAATTTCAACTCCAACTGAAAGTAATTGTTTAACGAAATTTGTTTTCCCATAAATTGCAGCCATATGAATAACTGAATTTTTATCTAAAGGGGATTTCCAATTAATTTTTGAGTCTTTTTCGCTCAGATAAGGTGGTAATAGTTCATTATCAAAGAGTTCTTTTCTTTTACCATTTATTGCAAAAGCAAATATTACAGGAACACGTTCATTTGTTAATTTACCATTAATTTTTCGTTCAATTTGGTTAAAAATAACAAGAGAAGAATTTGAAGAAGAAGAATGATCAAAACAAAATGTTTGGTTATGAACAGAACTTTGTTGAGACATGAACTATATTGTTTATTTTAAGTTCTTTTTTAAAACTAGTAAAAAAGGAATGAAATAGAGGTTACAATGACAAAAAAAGGGTAGAATTTTAGTATTGAATTCTAAATGGATGGAACTTTTTATCAATTGACATTGAACAATAATAAGTTCGTAGCATTTGAAGAAATGGCATTTGCGTTAGTTTAGAATTTTGTTCTTGAGTCAAATATTCATGTGAAACTAATAATGTAATGACTAAAAGTGAAGTATGTTCAGTAATATAATGAAAGTCATTAATAGGATAAGTGCAATCAACAATTGCTAATGTGTCTAAATGAAAATGAGAAAGGAAAGAGAGTGTAGATATTTTTCCATCAAATAATTTAAATTTTTTAAGATATTTTAATGTAAGAAGTGAGTGAATTGAATCATCACTTAAATCTCCACAAAGTAATACAGAAATTAAATAATTAGTATTATTAAATCTTAGAAATCTTGAATCAGTTATATGGTTTAAAATAATAATTAATGCATTAGGACTAAATGGAATATTAGTTATATCTGTTGTTAATACATCGGCTTTTGATATTACTGAAGTTATAAAATCATTTTCTTGAACTACTTCTTGTATTGTTGCATTAGAAATACAAACATTAGGTGGAAGTAATCTATTTGGAAGTTCATTATTACCATCAATTGTAAAACTAAGTTGTATAATAAAGATAGGAGGAAATAAGTACAGTTGGTCAATAATTTCATTAGTAATGTGTATGTCAAATGAAAGAAAAATCTTTTTAATTCTATAAATTGATTGTAATGAAACCAATTCACTACTAAAATTGAAATTGCACTTTGATAAATTTAATATTTCAAGTGAATTTAATGATGTTAATTGAAGTATAGAGGAATGTGGTAATTGGAATTCACTGTTTGTTCTAAGAGTAAGACGTTGGACAGTAATAAGTTGAGGAATGTCATTAAGAAAGTAATCTAATTCAATACTATCATTAATAAATATGTTAAGATAATTAAGTTTATTAAAGTATATGAAATTATGATGATATGAAAATGTTTGAAGAGAAGTGAGATGAACTAATTTAGTTAAATGTTGAAGTGCATCTCTTTGATTTTCATTTCCATCACCAGGATCAATTGATAACTTAAGTTGTTTGAGTTGAGGAAATTGATCAACTATTTTTTCAACTCTACTTTTATGACCTAAAACAGAATCAACATCCATAACCACCTCAAGTCGTTTAGCATTTTTAATTTGCATTATTGTTTCCATTTGACTAGGAGAAACAACAGCATTATAATCAAAAATTATTGTTGGATTTCCAAAAATTGAACCAACCCAATTCAAATTCTTAAAAAGATGATTGCTCGTAGGAGGTGTATATGTTGGTAAAATATTAATTGTGTTTGATTCAATCAGAGAATTAACAAATCGTTTACCATCAATATCAAATACATTTACTTGTAATAATTTTTGTGTTATTTGAAAATATCGTTTATTAACAATTCTCAATCTTTCTAATGTTCTATAATTTAAATAACTTGTAAATTCTCTAATTTCTAACGCAAAAAAACGACATTTTGCCATCACTAAATAAATATAAATTTTAAAGTTCCTCTTTTTTCAAAATATAAAAACAAAACCAAATTCTGGAATTTATTTATCGACGTTTATTTTTGTTTCTTTCTTTCTTTTTTTTTGAATTTATCATCTAACTTAAAGATACAATCTTATCAAAACGTCATTTAAATACCACTTTTTGTTTCAGTAAGAAAAAAGGTTATGAACAATAAATGTAATCAAATAATTCAATCTGATATTAATCTCATTAATAACTCTATTGCTCTTACTAATGAATCAATTGATATAGGAAAAAATGAGATTAGTCAATTGAAGCATCAAAATCAACAACTAAAAAGAATCAATAAAGACCTTATTACAATCGATTCAGAACAGCAAGAGACAAAGAAACATCTCTACAAAATCAAATGGCTTTTACCATCTCTAAGAGAGTTATTTAGAAAAAATGACCGACGTTATTCTAAAAAAAGACTTAATGATATTCAAAAAAGAGTTGAAAAAGATTATAACAGTCAAGAAAGAAAAGAAGAGAAATTAACCCAAAAACAAAACCAACAACAAAAAAAAGAAAAAAACGAAAGAAAAATAAAAATAAAGATGAATAAACAAGAAAAACAAAAAGAAGTTTGTATAAAACAAAAAATTCACCAAAGTACAGTAGATAAAGAATTAAATGAGAAAATGAATATTTTAGAAAACCATGTCAATGAAATGAAAGAACTATCAAACCAATTAAATGAAGAAATCAAAATAAGTTCACACCAACTAGAAGTACATTCTAAAATGGTTGAACGTCAAAATGAAATAATGGAAAAAAATTCAAAAAAAGTTAAATCATTAATAAATTAATTCAATTTGTTTTTTGAAGAATAAACCCAATGAATGGCATTTGCAACTCCATTATTATCTACATCTGTAGTAACATAAGTTGCTTCTTTTTTCACTCTCTCAAAAGCATTACCCATTGCAATTGCAATTCCACCAATCTTTCTAACAAATTGGAGTGCTTGAATGTCATTATCTGAATCTCCTACATAAACAATTCTTTTACCTTCTCCAAGCAAATTCATTTCATATAATCTTTGTAATGTCATTCCTTTATTTAAATCTTTATTAAAAACTTCAATGATAACATCTCCTGAATTTTTAACAACTAATTCATTACCAACAATTTTCTGAAGTAATTCTATCCATTGTTCTTTTTCTTGTGAATTTTTAGCATATAACACAATATCTAAAAATTCTTCTTCTTCTGTTGGTTGATATTCTTTAATTTGTGAAAATAATTCTTTGAACATATCTTTTGTTTTTATACAACTAACAACATATGCATTTAATTTCTGTTCTTTACAAACTTGAATAATTATTTTTGCTTGTGATGCATTCATTGGCATATAATTTAATATCTTATTATTCTGAAGCGAAAGAGCTCCATTAGAGCTGATTAAAATATCATTAAACTGAATTGCTTCTAAGATATGTTTTGTTTCATGAATTGATCTTCCTGTTGCAATAATAATTCTATTTCCTTTTTCTTTTTCTTCTAAAATAGCTCTTTTATCAATTTCACTCACAGCATCTCTCTTTGAAGAAGCCAATGTTCCATCAACGTCTAAAATGAAAGTAAATGACATTAGACAAAATGTGAGATTATTTTCTATCTTCTTTTTACTTTTGATAAATAACAAAAAAAAAGAAAATATGAAAAAACTTATTAGTTTATATCAAATGAAAATAACAAATATTAAAACATTATTTTTAATAAAATTTGTTTTTCAAATTTTTAAGAAGTTTATTAAATAAAAATGGAATATTTTTTAATTAAAAAGAAGTTAAATATAAAAGTGCTTTTAGATTTATTTTCTATTCTTCTTTTGTTCATTAGAGATTAATCCCATTTTTATGCTTTAAAATTATTTATTCATCAGTTATTTTATTATTTTTAATTTTTCATTTTATTGAGAAGTGTGTTTTTTATTCTTCATTTTTTTTATTTACATTGAATCAAAGTTTTTTCATATTTCACCAACGTATTTATTCTTCATTTAAGTAACATTCTCTTCTTTGTTTGAATTTAATGGATATTAAAACACCTCATTCTTTACTTTTTTTTATTTTATAATGAATATATATGTATCATTACAGTAGCATTCTATAATTTCATTTATAAAAAATTCCATTCATATCCATTTTCTTTGATAATACACTTATATTATCAAATATACTTGTGTGTTGATAAATAAATAATACTACAACTTTTATAAATACTCATTCTTCTATTATAATAAATGACATTGGCAACATAAACATTAAACAATATCATTCTCTCAGTATTGAAGAAGATGTTTACTAAACAAAAGACAGTAGAATAATCCTAAAGTAATTGGTGATTCAATGATTTTATTTATTATAATATTTATGTGATGTATCTAACAAATCATCTACAAAACCTCTTAAACACTAATTTTAAATAAAAAATTTCCATTTGAATTTCAATTTAAAAGAAAAATTCTTTAAAAAGAAAAATAAAATAATAAACATAAAATAAAAACTATGGAATATGAAAGAACTAAAAAAATGTAATTTAAATTATTCTCTTAATGAATAATACCATCATAAATATTTTATTTGCCACAGTAATAATATGTGGAGGAATTCTCATTTCTATATCAGGAGGATCATATTTATTTAAAAATGAAATAAATGAAATTATTAAATTCTTCAAAACCAATTCAGTAATGAATTATGAAAAAGAAAAAGATAATTTCATTGAATTGATTGAAATGAGTGATGAAGTAAAAAATGCAATGCAACAACAGTTGCCAATTGTTGCATTAGAGTCAACAATTATATCACATGGTTTACCATATCCTGATAATGAAAATGTTGCTAATGAAATAGAAAATATTATTAGAGAAAATGGTGCAGTACCTGCAACAATTGGTATTGTTGAAGGAAAAATTCATGTTGGAATGAATAAAGATCTCATTTCACAATTTTCTCAAAGAAAAGGAATTGAAAAAGTTAGTGTTCGTGATATTTCAGGAGTAATTGCTAAAAAACAATGGGGCGCTACAACTGTTGCAGCTACATCAAGAATAGCATCAATGGTAGGTATTAAAGTATTTGTAACTGGTGGACTAGGAGGGGTTCATCGTAATGCTGAAGTTACAATGGATATTTCTGCTGACCTTATAGAACTTGGATCAAATCCAATTTGTGTTGTTTCAGCTGGTCCAAAAATTATATTAGACGTTAATAAAACAGTTGAATATTTAGAAACACAAAGTGTTTCTGTTTATGGATATCAAACAACTACTCTTCCACAATTTTATGTACCAAATTCTAATATTCATATTCCATCTATTAATGAAACTAGTACCATTGCAGAAATTATTAATTGGAATAGAAAGTTACATATTAATAAGGGAATACTTATCACAGTCCCTATTCCAAAAGAAGATGCTCTTGAATTAGAACAAGTAAATAAATGGATTAATGCCGCTCTAAAAGAAGCAGAAATTCATCACATTGAAGGGAAAGCTACTACTCCATTTTTATTAAATTATTTAAATACACACACTAATTCTCAAACAGTTCGTGCAAATGTTGCATTAATTAAAAATAATGCAAAAGTAGGAGCATCAATTGCCTATCAATTAAGTTTATTAACAAATCATCCTAATGAAGATACTCTTAATGAAGAACTTACTCCATCAAAGATTGTAGTTATTGGAGCTAGTGTTATAGATTTTATTAGTAAAGCAGAAGTTTTACCAGAAGTAAGTGTAGAAGGAACTGTCAATCAAAATAGGGGAGGAGTAGGACATAATATTGCAGAAAATCTTCATAGAATTGGTAATGATATTTTATTTATTAGTACAATTGGTAATGACCTTCTTGGAAAGATGTTAAAACAATATTTCAAAGATATAAAAATGAAAACAAACGCATTAATTGAAAGTGAATTTGCAACACCAGTATATAGTGGAGTAATTAATACTTCAGGTCAATTAACTGCTGGTGTCATTGATAGTAGAGCATTAAAAGGAATGAAAATCCAAAATATTCAACAATTTAAAAATGAAATTTCTAATGCTGAATATGTTATTATGGATACTAACTTTGGTTTAGATATTATTGAAGAAGCATTAAAATATGCTAAAGGAAAGATTTGGATTGAACCAACTGGTGAAACTTCATTAAAAATTTTAACTGAAGGAGTGATGTCTCGAATTGATTATTTTTCTCCCAACAACTTTGAAATAGGATGGTTAAGTAAGAAATTAGGTTATAAAGGAGGTGTGTGTGATGGAGATAATATTGCTGAATGTATTAAAATGGCAGAGTTATTTATTGATAGAGGTATTAAAACATTAATTGTTAAATTAAGTGCTGCTGGATGTTTACTTGTTGAAAAAAGGAATGGACAATTATATTCTAAAGAATATCCAGCATTTGGAGTAGATTTAATTGTTGATGTTCATGGTGCTGGTGATGCATTTTCAGCTTCAACAATTTCTGCTTTAAATAGAGGGGAACCAATTGACAGAGCAATTTATTATGGACTTGCTGGTGCCACCTTTTCGTTACAAACAGAAAAGACAGTAAATGAGAAAATTACTTATGAATTACTAACTCAACTTGTTAAAGAAAAAGCTCATATTGAACTTTAAATTAGAATTTTCTTTTTTTTTAATGTTTTTGTTTAAATTTTATAATTAATAATACTTTTAAAAGGAATTGTTTCACAATATTTATAATAATATTTTAGAAAAATCAATATTTATGTAATAATTAATATTATATTAAATATAAAAAATATAAATGGTTATTGTTGTTCATTTTAAATTTAATTACATTTTATTTTGTAATAAATTGTTAGTAAAACCACTTACAGAGAATTGTATTTTTTAATGATTATTTGTTATTTATAGTGTTTTTTTATAATTCGTATTATTTGATTTATTTTCATCTTCTTTACAAACAAAATAATAACAAAAATATTCATTTGATAATAAATTGGATAAATCATTAATTGATGCTCCTTTTATTCGTTTTTCTTCAACTCCTCGATGCATAAAAATAATTGTTGGTAATGAACATATTGAGAATGTTTGTAATAAATCAAAAGATTCTTCAGAATTAATTAATAGAAAAATTACATCTTTATGAGAGGAAGCAAGTTGTTTAATTGTATTTATTGTTTGAATAGGACATTTCCACCAAACAAAGAAATCAAGAACAATTTTATCATTTTTTGATAAGAATTGATTGATATGTTCTTGTGTTGTAACCATAATAACACTCATTACTTTATTCGATATTTTAAGATATTATCTTTAAATAATTAGATAATATTGTTTTATACACTCTTTACAACAAAGATCTTACGAAAAGATCTTTTGTTTAAACAACATAGCTATTTCTGCATTTATTGATATAAAGATAATTGAAAAAAAACAAAACTAGTTATCAAATAACGACATGGAAATACGTGACAAAGTTCCATTTTTTAATACAATATAGATTGCATTGGGATGATAATGTAATGAAATAACTTCTTCTTTGGAAATATCAGGCATATTTACGTCAATTGGTAAACAACTAAGTAATGATGTTGAAATAAAACAAAGAACATTGTTGTTAGTTAATGCTGCAATAGTACCTGGAATAAATGAATTAACAAGGATTTGAGCATAAAAATCTAATTTTGTAATAATTTTTCCTTTAAAAGAAATAGCATATAATATAGAAGGTGTTGAAACATAAATATATTGTTCATAAGTAATGATAGATAATACAGTAGTGTCGTTTAATAATTTAATATGCCAAATATATTTCCATTTGTTTGCTGAATAACATGATACTAATCCACTGTCATCACCAATAAATAACATATGAGAATTATTATCAAAGAACAATGAAGTAATTTTATTAAGATGTACATTTAAATAAATTGGAACTTCTTGTGGTTGATTCAAACAACAAATTCCAACTAATGAGTCAGAACATCCAAAAGCTAAATAATCATTATTTAAATATTCAAATAAAAGAATTGAAGTAACTTCATTTGATTTTAATGTATATTGTTTAAGTTCACTATTAATTTGAATAACACCACAACATTTTGAAATAGCAAATCTTTTATTTCTTGATAATAATTTTTGATCAAATATTCTGTTTTTAATTGTTCCTTTTTTATGACAATATTCCATAGAATATAATGTTCTATAAATTGTATTTTTTGTTATCATTATTATTCCTTTATCATCTAAACATGAACTAATACATGGACTTTCTGGAATAATTAAACTTTTACAATAACATCGTTTTGTACATATATCAACCATTAATGGTATCGCTAATTTTCTTGTTGGATGTGGTTTTGTAAATAATTGAACTGGTAATTGTCCACTAAACATAGCACGTTTCTTTAATAATTCTTCATCTTCTCCACCTTTAATAAAATTTTCAATATAACATGATGGATGATATAAATTATCTGCTTTTCTTGCTTCTTCACCACAACTTTTATATCCAAATATTAAGTCTATCCATTTATTAATATTTAAACTAACATATGGTGATTCTAATGCACTTCTATTAATATTAACAAATTCATATGCATTCTTTGCCCATGGAGGTAATGTAACATTGTCAACCATAGTTTGAGTTACTGGATTTATTCCAAATTCAAATGAATTTTCATTAATTAAGAAATCTGGTAGATAGAAAAATTCAGGAATTAATTCAATATTACATTGTGTTGAATTCATACAAATATCCCAAGTATGTCCAATTGAATAAAACATTCTTTCAGGTCTATCATAATGATTTTCATTCATTCGAATAAACATTGTTGTAAAAGGTTCAACTCTAACTAAGAAATGAAATACATAATCACATGCTGAATAAAATGTTGGATAAATATATGCAACTTGGTCTTTAATTACACCATTCTTTCCAAATAATTCTTCAAATCTTTTCATTTCTTCAGAATGTCTTTTTGGATTAATACAAGGTATTGGTAATTCTAATGGTCTATAAATTGTAGGATTAGATAAGTCAAGAGAAATACTTGTATAATCTTGTATAATCCATGGAAATATAGGATAATGACTAAGATCATGATATGACCTACTTGCATATTGATTTAATTTAAGTAAATATTCAAAATTACTTAATTTACCATTACTCCATTTTTCTGTTATTTTTTGTAATTTTAATTCTATTGATTCATCTGGTAAATTACAAAGAATTAATAATTTATTATATACTTTCTTTGTAATACTTTCATTATTAAATAAGAAGTATTGACTTGAATTATTAAAAAATATTTCAATAGCATTAAACTCTGTAAAATATCGTTTTATTATTATTTCTTTAACTTCATTAAGTTGAAAAATATATCGTTTTTCTTTTGTTCTTTTAAATTCACTATTTGGTGCAAATGGATCATTAATAAATATTAATTCTTTTTCTTTAATTTCAAGTTTTCCTCTAATTGTAATTCTTCCTTGAAACTTTTTTATTACTTTAAATGCTTTTAATGTAATCCATTCACATTCAATACAATTTTCAATAAAACCTCCTATGTTATTGATTTCTTCATTATTTTCATCTTCAAGTTGACTTCTTTCAGCTGAATATATTTTAGCTGTTTTATGGTCATCAAAATGATTATTAATTTTCCAAAACATTTTAAATCCTTCATTTGATACTTCGTTAGTTAATTTCCAATAATTTTTAATCATTTCATTTTTAAATTCATTTTTTCCTTCTGTAAATTTCTTCCATTGTTTTGTTAATTCAAATAAATTTTCATTTAATTCTTCAATAATACTTTTTGTTATTTGTTTGTTTTCTTCAACAATTGGTTGAATTTGATTTAATTGTTTTTCAAAGTCTTTAACAATAGTGTCATTTAATTGTAATACATTTTTAGAGAATTTTTTAATACAATCAGTTATTGATGACATACTCATTTCTTGTTGTGTTTGATATGAATTAATTCCAGTTCCATCTCTTAGTATTAAATCTTTTATTCTTTTAATAAATTGTGTTGTTTGAAGGTGTTGAAGTTGTTCAATAGATGAAAGTGTTCCACTAAGAAGAGACATAATAAATAATGAATCATTCGAGGTAATATTTAATATTTCTGTAAGTTCTTTTGCAATAATCATTAATTTGTTTTTATAATTTTTATTTAATTTTGATGGAATTCTTAGAATTGAATTAAATAATTTTTGATTTTGTTTAAGTAACATTAAAGAAGTAAAGAATTCTAAAGAGATGAATTGAGAATATTTTTCATCTTCTGCATAAGATAGAATAACTAGAATTAAATTAGTAATATCATCTTGTTCATTAATTAAATTAATTTCAAGTAATATTGTTGTTAATAATAATTCAAGGAAGTTAAGTTCAATAAATGTATTGTTTTCATTAATAAAATTAAAACAATTTGGAATTTGTATTATATCTTTAACAAAAACAAGAAGAAGTGAGAAACAACTTTTACTTTCATTCATTAAATTAGAAGAAAGAATGAAATTACATTGAGTTAAATAATTTTTAAATTTATATGTCATATGATAAACATTAAGTAAGAATAATTGACAACAATTAATAATATGTTGTTTATCTTTATTTGATTTTTGTTTTAATTTTGATATTTTTGGTCTAATTTGAATATCAAGTTGTTCAAATACAAAAAGTAATAATTTGAATGCTTCTTCATCATTTTCCATAATCATTTCTTCTGTATAATAAAAAGCAGAAGTAATCATAATATTTATAAATTCTTCAATTTTTTCTGGTGCTTTTTTATTTAAATAAGTCATTTTTTTAATTATATATACTTTTAATAAATTAAATAATTTATCTCTTTGTTTAATATCTTTTGTTATTTGAATTGTATTCATTATAACAATCGGTGACTCAATTAAATTAAATGCACTTTGTGGAAAATTATCATATAATGTATTATTATAAAGTGTTTCACAAATTTGTTCTTTAATACTATCTTCAGCATATCTCATTGCAAATAAATTAATTTTTGGTACATCTAATAATAATTGTATTTTTACTGATTGTGCAATAAGAAGATAATACAAATTTGAGTCATAATGTTTTGATACAAAAATACAACTTAATATTAATAATGTTATTGTATTACAATCAAACATTGGATTAGTTTGAATAACAGTTTCTAAGAATAATAACATCATCAATAATATTTTATATTGTTGTTTAAATGGAATAATTGATTGAATATTAATACAATTATTTACAATAATTTCTGCATAAGGAGTATACTCTTTTTGAAATGTTTGAAAATGAATAAATAATAAATCTAATGTATTTCTAATTACATCATCATCATGAATCATATATAAATAATGATTGATTGCTGTAATATTTTCTATTGTTATTTTTCTTGATGCAATTTGAAAGAATCCAGTTATTGTAGTAATATAAACTTCTTCAATTTCATTTAGTGGTAATTTTTGATTTAATGAAATAAATTGAATTGATTTTGTAATTTGATATGGTTGCATAAATAATTCAATCATAACAATAAACTTCAATAAATTAATTGGTTCTTTTAAACTTTTAATTTCTTCAATAATAAGTATTTGTATTTCTTTTTCACATCCACTCCAAATTCTATAATCAAGAAATATTGATTCAAATGATGAACGTATTGAACTTCCTTTAAAAATCTCAGCTAATTGAAGTATTTCATCAAAACACTTTTTAGTTATACATTCTGAAGGTAAAGCAATTAAAATATAATGAAGATAATTTGCAATATTTAATAAAATAAATTCATTTTGCATTTTTGGTGTTTTAACACAATTTAATAAAATAGATAATATTGCATCTAATACAATTGTTTCTTGTGGTTTTTTAAATGACTGATGTTGTTTTTTCTTTATAAGTGTTCTATTATTACCAATAACACTTTTCTTTTGTGTAGAAACATTTATTGTTAAATTATTTCCTATTAATTTCTTTTGTTGCTCATCGTTTGGATTAGACAAGGTAGTCCATGGTTTGCAACTAGTATTACTTTGTTTATTAATAACATTTGAATTTTCTACTTTATCACTTGATGTTAATAATAAAGGAATTTGACTTTGACTTTGTGGTTGTGAATTTGAATTAGAATTGATATTTGAAATTGAATTTATAGAGGTTAATTGTTCTGGATGAATAGAAAGAAGTTCAAAGAGACTAAAAATAAATTTAAATGAACCACTTTGTTGGAATGAATTGATGTTTGAAGTACTTGTAATGATTTTACAATGTTCATATTTAAATGTTGGTGTAATATCTCCAATAATATTTTGTTGTGTTTCAATTGGGTTTGTAGATAAAACAAATAATTTCTTTAAATTTGACATAAAAAGTTCTGGTTGAGAAAGATAAGTATTAATATTTAAGTCGATTTGACTAATATCCATTTGAGTTAGTGATAATGGGAAAATTACACATGAAGAAATATATCCAACAAAATAATTAGAATATTGATTCTTCACTTTAGAACATCCAAAACATTCTTCACAAAAGAGAATAGATTGGTCATGAGGTTGAATTGGTACTGATATAGTTTTAACTTGAACATTTGTTGTTTGAATGAGATTTGCTTCACATATCATTTCATTATTTTTTTGTTGGAAGACAAAAACTGCACAATACCATTCCATTTCATTTAATTTAATATCTATTGTAATATAATCAATTTTATTATTTTCTAATCTTAATTGAAGATAATTTTGATTTGTAATTGAAATAATCATTAAATGATGTTCTGGTGATTGAAACATTGCTAAGGTTTGTGCTTCATTTATAATACTTTGTGGACAAAACCAAAGAACTATTGACGATGATTTGTAATTGAATGAAATAGGACATTGACTTGTAATAAATGAATTCTTTTTAAAGAAAAAGGATTTAAAATCTAATCGAGATGTTTCTTGTAATACATTCTTTAAAATAGAAAAGCTATCTGATGAAAATGATTGTTCAGAAACAGTATCTCTCATTAAATTTTTCATTTGTTGAATTGAACAAGATGGTGTTACTGCAATACTTGCCAAACACACAAGAAATTCTTTAGTCTCTCCTTTTGGTGTTTTTGAAATTAACTTCATAAGATCATCAAAACAATACTTACAGAATTTACTACAATTATATGAATTAAAACTAACAAAATCTATTAATGCACTTCTTAAATAAGTAGTTGTATTTTGAATAGTTAATGAAAGAATTAATGGATAAACTGATGCAAATGTAACAATTAATGAATTTTTAGATATTCCAATATGGTCATTAGGTTGAAGTGTTTTATTTGATACAACACATTGATCACATAATAATGTAAATAATTTACCTATGATTTCACTTTGAATAGATATTGAAAAAGACAAAACCATTGTTTTAATTCTTTGAATTTGTTGTTTAATGAACTTTTTGGTTTGTTTGTACGTTGCCAATATTACCAAAATATCAATAATAATGAAGATAACTTGTTTATCAATAGAAGGATTTATAAGTTGAATTAAACAAGAAACACTTTCATCATTTAATTTAATTCTTTCACAAATGAGTGAACGTAATTGTTTAGCACAAAATAATGAAAGTGATAAATCTTTTTGAATGAAATATGAAATACAATGTATTAATAAAGGTATTTGTTCATTTGCTAGTGGATCTGTTTCTAAGAAAATACACATATTAATAACAGAACCAGGTGTAACTAAGTCTAATTCATTTTCAAACATAAAATATATTGTTTTACGATAATTCAATACATTTTCAATTTTATCAAAGACTATTCCTTCATTATTTGTTGAAAGTTGATTAATAAGAATATGATACTCATGAAAATGTTTAAATTGTTTAATAGAAGTAGATGATAATAATGAACTTAATAATTCTTTTTTAGTATCAGTTGTAAATGCATTAAATCGATAGCAATTAAGAAACATATTAAACATACTAATAAAAAACTTTTGATTTTCTTTGTTAACTGGTATTTTTTCTAATATCTTTTCCATTTTTAATACAATTATATTACATTGAGAAAATGTTGGAATAACACTTAAATATAAATCAATATTTTCAGCATTTACTACAGGTAATATTTGTAAGAAAAATTCAAAGAGTGAAAGATACGTTGTTGTTAAACTTTGAAGAAGTTTATCATTTTTTCTATATTCAATAAGTTCTATTTCTTTAATGAATTAATAACAAAAAAAAACTACAAACAAAAAACGAAATAATATTTGTGATAATCCAATTTGATGTTTAATAAAGAAAATAACTTCTTCATTTTGAATATGATAATTAAATTTGTCATAAAATAATGATTCAACATAAGATGAAATATTATTGTTCGTACTTTTTGCTTTAAAATAAAAGACATTAAGAAATAAAAATAAAATTTCATCCACTAAATATGAATAAAGTTGGGTTGGATTATCTAAACATAAAAAATAACATTTTTTTAATTGTTCATTAAATTGTTTTGGAATAAATTCAAGTTCTGAATAATTTATTTCTTCAACAAATACTCCCCCAATAATTTTTCTAAATAATCCAAATGCAATAGTAGTAAATTGTACCATTTCAGATGTTTTATTCGTAAGTAATAATTCAGAATAATATGATATTTGTTGTAATAATAATGGAATAACTTCTTTAATTCCATTAACATTTTTTAAAAATTTTGTTATTAATATAAACTCAGGATGTTCTTCTGTCTCTTGAAATATCTGAAACAAAAGTGCTGAAGTTGTCTCTCGTTTTAAATTAGGAGTTGTTGTTGAATCAAATCCATAGTCATTACCATAATTATAAAGTTTATGAACAAATAAACTTCTTATAGTTGGAGTAAGCTGTTCAAATCGATGGACATTTTCCCATATTGTTGAATAATCACATAGTTCGTCCATTGATGAAAAGTTGAAATTGATTTTTTTGTTTTACAAATTATCATTTCATTTTTTTTATTATTTTTATTATTATTTTTTTTTATTGAGTTTAGTTTTTGTATTTGATAGAAAAATGAAAAATTAAAAACTCTCAAAAAATGAAAAAAGATTATCGAAGATGTCAACAATTGAAAGACAACCATCTCCTCATGGATCTTTTGAAATCACTGAGTCTAAAGGAAAGTGGTCAAGAAGGTATATATTTGATGATGGATATACTCAACAACCATTCCAAAAATCTCAAAATCATTTACAAGAATTAATAGTACCTGTTGGATATCCAACATCAGTAGAACGTGGCTATTTTAGATTTGTTATTTTTTCTGTTATTATGGAAGCTGCAAATATGATGATGCTTGTTATGAGTGTCTCTGCAATTTTAAGAATTAACCCTGGACATTCTGCTGCATTTTTTGTTGTTTTTAGAGAAGTAATGACTGGAATGATGCATTTGATTATTACTGAACGTTGGGGAACTTCTATTGTATTTTTTGCAAAACAATGGAGAATGAGAATTGAATTAATATCAGAGCTCCTCAGAATTATTGAAATAGCATTTATCTCTACACCTATCTTCTATTCAATAAGCGTTACATGTTCAGTTATTGAAGGCGTTTTACAAGCAAGTCGTCAAGTTATTAAAACACGAATTTTAAACAATTATGCAAAAGGAAATAATGTTGCTGAACTTACTGAAAAAGTTCAAAACTTAGAAACACTTTTTAGGGTTGTAAGTTTGTTAATAGGATGGGTTATTCTTCATGTTCTCGGTGACTTTACTGAAAGTGGAATCATTGTATTTATTTGTGCACTCATTAGTCATTGCATTTGTAACTTCTTATTGTCTAATGTTATTGTATTCAAAACATTAAACTATGAACGACTAACAATATTAATGTCATATTTTATGAATATTAAAAATGAAATTCTTTCTCCCGTAGTTGTCAGCAGAATAGAATCCAAAATTAAAGTAAATGAAATGGTAAATATCAGAATGGGAATTAGTTTAAACAGTATTCCTAAATCATCAGACCTCTACATAGAAATATCTCAGTCAATAAAAAAATACCAATATTATTTGTATAAAACTTCTACAAATCAAATATGGGTAATACTCGGTGACCATATTACTAAAGATGAAATATTCGAATCTTTACTTTGTGCTTATTCTCAATTGGTTATTGGATGGGATGAAAACAGGAAACAACAAGTAAAAGACTGGGACATCGTTGGGTGTTTAAAAGAGAAAGGATGGGACATTGAAAATTTGGATGTAAGAATTGGTGCTTATCGTATACAATCAGACTTATTGAAATTCTAATTTTTTTAAAATTTAAAAGAAAAAATAAAATAAAAATTACTAAATTAAGTTTCAGTACTTCTTGTTTTTCTACTTTACTTAGGTGAAGCTATTTCATTCACTCCCTTCAGAGCATTATTCATGAGGTATTTCTCTATCTTGATACTCTCCTCGTTTATTTCCACATTAGTTCATTATGTCTTTCATGTTATTATTCAATTTATCTTTTACAAGTATTTAAGTTGTAAGGATAATGTCTTGTTCTTTCATCCTTCTTATTGATTCGTTATTGTTCAGTTTATTTTTATTATTGAAATTATTTTAGTTTATGAATTTCTCTTTATTTTTCTTATTATAATTTGTCTATTTC